TATATATATATATATATATATTTTTTTTATACAATATATTGCTGAAAAAGAATTATTGTATAATTGCGTGAGAAAAAAAATTATAGATAAAATAGAGATGAAAACAGTCATTAAAATGAGTAATTATTTATTATGATGTGTTTGTAACCAATTGAATTTAACTCAATTCAACTAGAGTTAAAAAAAAAAGTTATATTCACAACTTTTTATTTTTTTATTAAAATTTGTATTTTTTTTATTGAACATCATTTTAAATTAGAACTTAAACATATATTTAATAATTTAAACTTATTATAAAGAAAATATCATATTTTTGTATACATAATTTTTGAATTATTTTATTTTTACAATTTTAAATAATAAAAAATAATATAAAAAAATAATTAAATTTAAAATTTGAACCTAAAATCTTGATATTCTAAAAAATCAATACAATATTGATTAATTTAATAAATATTAATAATTTTTAAATATTTTTAAATAAATATATAGACATGACTAATTTATAAATTAATAGCTATAGATAAAAGGGGGTAATAAGGGTCGAATGGGATTCTTGGGTTTCTTCATTTCATCCAGAAGTCATGAGGCCATCGGAATCCCTCAAAACGGTGGAATAAGATACAGTTCTGGTCTGCATGTGCATTCATTGCATTGCGTTATTTTAAAACTTTTTTTTATCATCACAAAATTTCACCATAGGGCATGTTCAATTGTAACATGAATCCTCTCACACCAATTATTAATATAATAGGGTGAGAAAAAAATATACTAAAATTAATCATAATTCGTTGAATAAAATTATTTTAAATCTCTGAATTTAAATTTCTTTTTATCTATAATAATAACAAAGTTTAAATTTAGAATATAATTACATATATATTACTCCAATATGACTAAAAACAAGTAAATTGAATTTTTCACTTTAAATAAATATTCTATTCTTTTTTATAGTCGTTATTTTGAACATAATTGTATTATTATTTATTATTGTGTTCTTTATTTTGTTTTTTATTGTGTTTTTTATTTATAATTTATTATTATTATTAATGACAAAAAGGCACTTAGTATTTTTATGAATTTTGTTTAAAAATAGTATAAAATTTATAAACAATATATAAAGGTTGTGATTTATTGTTTTTGCATACACAATCTTTAAAACATTTTTACTCTTTATTTATTATGATGATTACACACTTCTTTCTTTTAGTGTTGAATAATAACTTAATGATTTTACTTTATTAATTCAAATAAAAAAATTTATTTTTCAAAAAATAAATTGTATATCTAATAATTGTTTTGTAACTTTCACAAACATTAACAACGTACAATGTATTTTTTTGTACTAATAAAACATAAAGATAATAAAGATTATAACATATAAAATAAGTGAGATATGTAAAGTTTGCCTAAAATTTTGCTAGTTTTAGATTGTCAATTTCTATTGAATATAAAAGTTTTTCATTTTATCCCTAATTTTGGGTTGGTTCCTTTTGTGGAAGACCAAAGCTATAATTGACCCAACAATGGTGGTTAGTTTTTTCTTGGGTTTGGGGGCCTTTTGTCACACACAATTAAGCCGAAAAAAAATCTTAAAGAAATTAAAGATAGTTATAAAATAAGTGAGTAATTATTATCAATAGAATAAATAATTATTATTATTATATATATATATAAAAGGAAGGCTAAAATCCAAACAAATTACAAGTGATTACTACAAGGAATAGATAGACTCGTTACATCTTGCTTAAGGAAATAAACACACCTAATAGACAAACTATCTAAAATATACAATCCAATATGATGACAATGAGTTAAATTAGCTAAGTAATCAGTCACTATATTTGTTTTTCTTAATGCATGAGTAACTTTGACTTGCCAATCCTTGCTCACCCAACTATGGATACTATCTATCCTAATCCTGAAGGGATGACACACCTCAACCCTTTTATTTATGAATTCCAATGCTACTCTTGTGTCACTTTCCACCCAAAGCTTCTCATGTCCCTTGCTCTAAGCAACTTTGAGAGAAGTCAACACTCCTTAGAGCTCAGCCTTAAGAACATTTGAGCTACCTAGATTCTGGAGGAAACATGAGTTCTTACTACCCTTAAAACTCCTTAGCTCACATGCACATGTTATAGAGGTACCTCCATGTTGGATAGAAGCATCACTATTCACTTTGATCCATCCTTGTTGTGGTGCAGTCCAACAAATGTTGTATTCCTAATACTTTGGCACTCCTACCAACTAGCACAGATACCGATCCACAACATTCAGACAATTAGACACCCTTTGCCAATTTAACATGCATACCTTTAGGATATTATACTTTTCCTTGCAAACAAACTTTTATTCCTTGATTGCCAAATAATATTTGTTCCAACAACAAAAAATAACATGCCATTTCATTTCCAACACCATTTTGTGGGAGTCTCAAAGATTACAGTACACCCAATCACGTACACTAACTGCAAATAACTATTCATGAAGGTTAGGAGATATATTATGTCGTACTATATTGACATACTGACAATCACAAAGTATATGCAATGTTGTTTATGGTTGTTGTTGACATATATATATGCTTGGGTAGCAAGACTATTTGCATTGTGTATGTAGGAAGAACAACAACTACCACCTTGATTAGAGTGCATCGTCAAACAAAGGATAAAGTATTAGCCCTCCGTAAGCTTAGCGTTTGTTGAGTTTTCTGAATTAACTAAGATA